TGCAAAGCAAGTGACAAGAAAACGAGCACTTTGCATTGAGTTATTTACGTTACTTATTAACTATGATGTGCTGCTGGTTTTGGCTGTTTTTGGCCGGATGACCAAACAAATAGCATTTAATGTTTCGCACCCCACTTGGCAATCATTAATATAAGTAGATTACCGAACAAGTGATTTTTGTTTTCATTCGAATGTGAGCAATTTGTTTAATAGAAGAACCCATGAAATAGCGCTTTAATACAAATATTTACTGTGATTTTTTGTTCATCAGTTCGTAGACTCCCTCCCAGGTCATATCCTAACCGACTTCCGCGGAAAAGGTCACAAAAAATCACTATCAATAAATTCCTTTGAATGGTGCTCGGCAATCGTAAAACTTTTTTTTTACATCGCCACAGCAGTTACGGGAAAAAAAATTTAATCAACATGACTTTCGAGGCAGTTTTTATGCCGTTTGTTGTTTGCCTGGAAACCAAAGGCTTATGCTCGTACACCCACACACATGCAAGGCATACCATGCAGAACTGTTGTAAATGGGGGCGCCCAGCGTGTGAAATGCAAATATCTGTTGCCATAGCTTGTGTGCCACATGTGGCGCATAGGTCGGACTTTTAGTTTACTCGCAACGGCAGTCGCCGCCTACAAAAATGCTTAATAATTTCTGCAAATTGTTTTCGACGCTGCAACAATCAAAAACTAGTCTAATAAAGTGGCCGTACAACTGGGTGTATGAGTAACGTGAAGCTGGTAAAGCAACCGCGCAAACCACAGAACTAAGCAGCAGAAGGCTTAATCAAATATGCTGATAAGACACACACACACACGCACACACATGCACACATACATACCAAAAAGATTAAATCCAAATGTAATAACAACCAGTGGGACGCAGAAGCAAAAAACCAGTCTAAATAGCAATAGAGCCTCCGCAATCCCAAAAGAGTCCGGCGAGGCCGATGCCGGGCCTAATGTGTTTGTCAAAAACGTTTTAATGCCTGGCCGAGCTATAAACCAGACAGCCCCGAATAACATTACAATAAGAGCAACAACAACAGGACAGCGGTAGCTCGAAGAAGCCTTCTTTTTCGCCAACTGACCACAAATGACCTTTTTCGCACCGAAATAAAAATTGTTAAATAAAAGGGAAATAAAATGTGCCACAAAAGCCTCATCAACGTCAACGTTGGCGTCAGCGTCGACGTCGACGTCTGCGTTGGCGTTAGCGTTGACGTTGGCGATATCAAGGCATATGAGCAACCTGTTGTCTGTCTACCCATCTGTTTGCTCGCGTGTGTGTGTGTGTGTGTCTGCATCGACGTGTGTGTGGACAATGTTTAATGTACAGAGGAACGTCACTATACACGTATGTATTTAGCATAACTATTTTACAGAAAGAATAAGTGAAAGGATATTAAAAAAGAGACAAGCATCCGGTTTTAAATTGTACGTTTAAAATTTAAATTTTTATAAATGTATGTATGTATAGGTATATAACTTCACATCAAATCTCTACGAAATATTGAGACAGAAATATTGTTATATAGCGCAAACGAACTTACCTCTAGCACTCATTGTTAGAATTTTTTGCATTAATCCGTTCGATTCTCAAGAGGTCCACAGGCACAGCGTGATAATTTTAACTTGGAGCCCTAAAATAAAATAATAAATCTATGTTAATCAACGTTGTGTGGCAAATTATTAGCGCAGTTAATATCTTAGTTCACTACAATCTCAATTTCCCATGAAGAACCATTTTGAAATTTAATTGAATTTTTATAGACTTGCAACTATCATTCATAAAAACAAATATCAATTTCTTAATTGATTAAAAAGTTTATCAAAACGGTAATCTTAATATTAGCCGAAAAACTACTTATATTAAAAGCAATCGAATTTTTATGAAGGGTTTACTGTATTAGTTTGCCGGGAGCCAAGGCTATTTAAGCGGCGTCAATGTGTTTTTACGCTTGAGCAACAAATAGACGAGGACGAACAGTGGGCGAAGGACGATGGACGCTTTTTCTAGCTGCCTGATCAAGCGTGAGCCGCTCGTGCGTGCCAGCCCTCTAGGAGTGTTTGAGTGTGCGTGTGTGGCTGTTTGTTGTGTGCCCAACAATGTGTTAATAGCTTGCTTATTTTGTGAATTTTGTGGCTGTGTGGGTATGTGTCCAATTTTGCGGACAATTTGCTGTGCGACAGTTTTTTAAGGTATACTACTCTGCTCAACGTTAGAGGACAATAAATTGGCGAGCACGGAAGCCGCCTGAGATGTGCGTTTAATATGTTTATAATAATGCGCAGCATGAATCCAAAGCTTTAAGCCTTAAGGTATCTATATGTAAAAGCAATTTTTGTTTTATTGGGAGGCTCACATTTTCTTGTTTAAAGGGGTATTAAGAGCAAGCAAATTTAAGTAAAAAAAAAAATCTCCCATCTGGGATAATTCGCATTTAGGAGCAACTATCGTGTTTATTGCTGAGCTCATCCGTCATTTGGCCAAAGGCAATCAAAAGCAAGCAGCCCCTACAAAATTGCCACGATGATAAATCACTTTCAATTTTGACAAACATCACAAATGTCAACGCCACACACAACAACACACACGCACAGAAGCATCTAATTTACATGCTTGAGGTCCGGCTTTTCGGCCAATTGCTTTGCACTTCCTGCCCATCATTTTCAAAATCAAGTTGAAGTATCATTGTCGATGCTTCACAAAAACAGAATTGCGATGCTTTCCGATTTAGGCATTCCCGTCACTGATGATGCTGATGTGTTGGCAGAAAAGTTGGATGATTTACCCCACCCTCCCCCAACATAGTCATAAAAAAATATGAGGATTTGTTAAACTAAGCATTTGAACCCAAATGTAGAATTGGACACGTCGTTGAATTTTGCAAAAAGCAAAAGCTCAAAACACATTGCAACTAATTAAAAAGTAACACATTCATTTTGTTCATAGGGACGTGCTTCTTTATTTTGTAACGTTATAAATGGATTCCTTTGTAGGTTTATAATATTTAATTTGTTCATTATAACAAACTCTTCATATGAGAACTGTTGCTAGTTGTTTGTGTAAACCATTTAAGTATACTAACTATTTGGCAAAGTTCTCTCAATTCGCAAGCTTTTGCTACGACAGTACTTCGTCTGCTTATAGAGAGAAGCCAAATACTTGAGCCTTCATAAAGCTGCACAGCATTTTGTTAAATTGTGTCAATTAAATTTTTGATTTATGCATAAACTCTACAAAATGCATGGAAATAACACCAAAATGAAGGCCTAGAAAATGATGTCATGGACTAAGCGCGGAACCAACACACCCCATGCCTTTGGACAGTTCGTCGATGGCGTAGAGTTCACATCATTAATGCTTAAATAAATCAATAAAATTGCAATTTCAATGCGTGGCACACACACACACACACGCACACACACTTAGACTGAGCGACCCGACTGAAAGCAAGGAAACACAAGCCAAGGACAAAGTACAGACAAGTAGACATACATACGAGTATACATATACTTGTATGTGAACAGGACTTGCATTTAAATTGATATGCAAAAGTTGCGGTGCAAGTAAATTTTGTTTAACTTATTTTGCCCGCACCCCTTATCCATATGTGCGTGTCTGTGTTTCATTTCAAACGTCATAAATTTATTTCGCAGACGCCAAACAACAAAAAGTACAACAAATGAGGCAAATATTGAATTATTTATTAGCCCGAGCAGAGCATAAGGGCGATAAAGCGAGAGAGTAAATATGTGAAAGCGACACCGCGCGGAAATTGCTGACACGTCACACACACACACACATACACACGCAACCCCAATATGCATCAGCAGCCAAAAGTATGCTACAGCATTTGTTCTACAATTTAAGCACGCGCACCTACTTAGACAAAATGGCGGCGGCTGCTAAAAGCATGCAACGCACATTGAATCGAAAACTAAAGAACACTAGAGAAATGATTAACCTAATCGTTGATAAATGCTCACTGATACTATTAGTATATTTATCAAATGCAATAATTTACTGCGCTTTATAATCAAAATATCCAAATACATATTCATATTAGTATATACTGAGAACAATGTACAATTAAACTTTGATTAGTCGCACCTTCATTAAGCGGAAATATATGTTGCTCCGAACATCACGGACAATCAGACATATATGAAAACATATTTCATTTATTTTATATCTCTAATATCACTACTGAAGCGAACAATGTAAGTAGTTATTGAAATTATTAGAGGAAATATTAGGGTTTTCTTTCTTTTTGCTGTTGATGTCGAACTTTAAACGACGTATAGTCATATTTAAAGACTGTAAATACAGTAAATCAGTTGTTTTTCAAAGTTAAGACACATTTTTAATCAAACTTTATAATTTTACAAATTATGAAGACTTTTCCTAGAGGTAATTTAAATTTTAAATTATTAATATAATATAGTGTTAATATTATTATATTGAAGTAAGACCAAATGAACTCGACAGATCTGCGACTCGTTCGGTAAATTGCAATGATTAAATATTTAATTTCCTATCTCATTTTTTTTACACATTTTGCTTCAATGTACATGACCTAAGTATGCTTTAAACAATAAAGAAAAATGAAGCAGAGCCTTAAAAGTGCCCACAATGCAGCCAACCACCTTCCAACTGACTGCTTGTCTGTAAAAAGAAACTAAGAAGCTCAATTGGAGTGGGTACTCAAAAAAAAAGCTGGGAGTGCTAAGCATTGTTGTTGTTGGCTGAGCCGGAAGTTGATATTAAGGTCGGGGTAGGATGCACTTTTTAAATGCAGCAGCTGCCTCAGTGGTGGGCTGCTGGATAAGTGCATTGGCGTTCAAGATGTGGTGCATACTTAATATATTGCTAAGGGGTGCCTAATACGTGACGTATATGTGATGTGAACAAAAAGCGGAAATTGGGAAGGGATTCCTATAGCTTATCAGCCACGACTAATCAGCACTCTATCGCTATTCTCTTGCAGCCACCAGACGAAACTTCAACACAATGACACACTTCAGGCGTCAATTATGTCACACTCTAATACTCTTCTACTTGAATCTATGGGGGCTCCAGTCTTGTGCTGAATTGGCCACAGCCCAAGGTAAGCAAATCATATTATAATTCATTCATCATTTCACAATGAAAACAATAGCAAATAGCTTTATATTATCGGATGTAAGTAATTATGTGTGTTTAAATTTTCCACTTTAAATTGAGCTCGATACTCGAAAAATAGACAAATATCTAGAAACTCTCTCTGCGATTCTCATATAAAACTTATAACCGGAATCTTTTTAAATTTACGTATTATTTAATTGTAATAAAAACTGCTTGGAAATTAAATTTATTAAATATATTTATGAAAAAATAGCCGCCCTCCTCCGCGATTCTCATACCAAGTACCTAAGCTATGGCACTTCTAACGAAAATCAGTTGGTTTTTAAATAATTTGAATGAACATTTTTGGAAATTAAATAAATATTTTTGTGAAAAACTTGACGCCCTCCTCCGCGATTCTCATACCAAGTACCTAAGCTATGGCACTTCTAACGAAAATCAGTTCGTTTTTAAATAATTTTAATATGCATTTTTGGAAATTAAATAAATATTTTTGTGAAAAAATGGACGCCCTCCTCTGCGATTCTCATACCAAGTACCTAAGCTATGGCACTTCTAACGAAAATCAGTTTGCTTTTAAATAATTTTAATATGCATTTTTGGAAATTAAATAAATATTTTTGTGAAAAAATGGACGCCCTCCTCTGCGATTCTCATACCAAGTACCTAAACGATGGCACTTCTGACTAAAATTTGTTTTGTTTTTAAAAAATGTTAACAAGCATTTTTGGAAATTAAATAAATATTTTTGTGAAAAAATTGACGCCCTCCTCTGCGATTCTCATACCAAGTACCTAAGCAATCGCACTTCTAGCTTATATTATTATTCTCTTATTTAATTAAATGGATATTTTCTCATAAGTATTTTGGACGCCCTCCTCTGCGATTCTCAGACCACGTACTTAAATGATGACACGCTTTAATTAATTTTAATTTGAAATCACTATAATCACCAACCGCGTTTTGGAATTCCACTGACCCCACTTTATCTCAACAGGGGCTCCAATTGACAGCCTGTATGATAATCTGCTGCAACGTGAATATGCCGGTCCCATAGTCTTTCCCAATCACCAGGTGGAGCGCAAGGCTCAGCGATCTCCGTCGTTGCGTTTGCGTTTCGGTCGCAGCGATCCTGATATGTTGAATAGCATTGTGGAAAAGCGTTGGTTCGGCGATGTCAATCAAAAGCCCATACGCTCGCCTTCATTGCGGCTTCGCTTTGGGCGACGCAGTGATCCCAACTTACCCCAAATGCGACGTACGGCCTACGATGATATTTTGGAACGGCAGCTGACTCTGAACAGCCAACAGCAGGAGAATAATGCGCAGCAGCAGCTCTTGGAGGAAGATACGGACTCAAATCTACTGGACTATGATGCGGGCTTTGAGCGCGAGGTACGCAAGCCTCAGCGTTTGCGATGGGGACGCAGTGTGCCACAATATGAACCCAGCGTTCAGTCCTCGAACAATGAACAGGTGAGTGTTTTTCAGTATTCAGATCTGTTCCAGCAAGGAAATAAAGCAATTTTTTGAATCGCCAGCTATACAATTCGCTTCTGAACTCGGAAAAATTACGCCACATGCTGCTGGCACTGCAACAATACGAAGAATCCGCTCCATATGCCACTGACGATAACGATTCAGCCGAGTTTCAGCGCGAGGCACGCAAGCCTATGCGTTTGCGTTGGGGTCGTAGCACAGGCAAGGCACCCAGCGAGCAAAAGGTAGGTCCACATAACCTAGATGTCAACCCCAATTTCCGGTTAGAGCCTAACTTGACGGAATTGGGATTTAAAAACACTTAATTTCGTTTGAATGACTAATGATTCATCAATTAATTTTACATTTTCAAATAATTTATCATTTCCGATTCCCCACCATAGACGGCCCCAGCTACTGAAGCTCCGAAAACACAAAACTAAATTGCAACCATGAGGCCAAGCAGATCGGATAAGAGTAGACGACTAGGACGACAATGGCAGCAACAAAAACTACGGAATTAAAAGCGATTTGTAAACTAGGAAAATTATATTTCAAAACAACACTGAATTGAGCGGCAGGTTTTTGAACAATTTATGAGATAGGCGCAGGCAGAGCAGAAATATATAACCTATATACACACAAAAATATATGAATAGCAGCTAACTACATACAAATGGATAAATAACATTTATTTTCGCAATCTCAAGCATAAACTTTAACAATGCGCATTGGAGTGAAAGTGAAAAAGAAAATGTTTGTAGAAATCTATATGTTCTTTGGAAAACTGAAAACAGCTTAGCTTAAATATATTTTAGAGTGTTTATTTTTAGTTTGTTGCTTGTTTAAACCTTTAGAAATATTGTGTTGTAAGAACATCAGAAGGAAGTCCCCTCTTTTCCCAAGCTATTTTCCGTACACATTAAATGTTTGTATATAAAATCGCATGCAACATTTTTTAAAAGTAGCGCAAAGTTGTTTGAAAAAACTAACAAAAAACAAAAGATATAAAAACCTTACATAAATGAAATTTTAATTATTTAAGTAAATTCTATAAAGTTATGCGAAAAATGTTTGAAAAACATTAAAAGGCCCCCGAAAGGAGTATTATTGCAACAATTGTTATATTCTGTGTGCTAAAAGTTATACATACATATATATTCTATATAATTATTAAATTCAAAGTCGCAAAGGAATAAACCTAATAAATATTTGTCTATTATAAATATATATAAAACTTTTATTGAGCTACACTATATTTTAAACAGAAAGTCAAAAACATAATATGAAAAGCTGCATTAAATATCGTACCACAAAACTGAACAACATGCTGACAGATGACAAACTATACTCATACTATATGTTTGATGTAAAGACGTATTGTATACCTAATTTACACCATCATTGAAATTGCTGCGAATTTCAATTTTAAGAAGATATATGTATGTAATTCTCCAATTATATTTACCATATGAATGTACCGTACGAAACTATAGTTTCGGAGCACACACACATAAAAGAAGACATCCCGAATGATATCAAAAGGTACACATACACTATATACGAGTATACATACCTATATATAAAAAGATATACTATACATATGAATAAATATCATAAATGTAAATAGCAAAGGCGAAAATATTTTACTCAAAATAAAAATATGATTACGCTCTACTAGAGTTCAAAAAAAAAAAACAATGAATCTTTAGTTACTTTCTATAAACTTGTTTTGAAAAAGTAAGTAAATTATCCCTTTTATTGATTGGTACTGACAAGGACGCGAATAATAAGCGCAATAAGTTAGGCCTGTAAAACTAAATTCAATATGAATTTGAATTTCTGAAAGTCTTAGTCTTTATTCCAAGTCAATTTCGACATTAATAAGTTTATTTATGAAAGATATTTGCAAATTAATATCCAGTATTTATTGTTTTGTTTTTTTGATTTTATATTTCGAATGCATTGTTTAATGTGTGATGCTGATTTTCAGCTAAAATAATTGATTATCTATGTATTTTAGTAGAGATTAAATAATTTATATATTACTCTTTTTTTTGGTTTGTTGTCTCAACGTAAATGAAATATTAAAGTTTTTTTATTTATATAATTCAATATGTGAACAGTCATCGAGGTCTACAAACTGAATTAGAAACCGATGTGGGAATCTGTTGCTGAAAATTTTGACCAGTGAATGAACCCAGAAGGGTTTCTTAACTGATTCGCCAGCTATTTTTCCAGTACTATTTATACCCTATACTCGTAGGGAAAAGGGTACACTAGGGAATTTAAGCGCCAAATATATGATTCAGACAGAAGAATGCATGGAAAATACATGAACATGACGAGACGAATCGATAAAGACAGGATCCGTCTAACCGTTTGCCGTAACAGCATCAGAAACTTTTGAACTCTAACAAGAAAGGAATGCTAAAGTCGAGCAGGCTCAACTCTTAAATACCCTGTACCACCCGACAAAAAAGAAATTAAATTAATTAATTAATTTAATTTAATTAATTAACTAAATTAAATATAAAATATTCCATACATGCATACATACATTTATCAGAAAAAATGAGAATCTGTATACCAAGTTGGGTTATTCTAGCTCTTATACTTTCTGAGATCCTTGCGTTCATACAGACAGACAGACGGACATGGCTATATCGACTCGGCTTGTCATGCTGATCAAGAATATATATACTTTGTGGGGTCTACCAAGCCTCCTTCTGTGTGTTCCATGTGCACTCGCCCAAAACTAATATACCCTTGTACCCTGGTACCCTGGTATATAGCTTTTTCTTATATACGTAGAGCAAGTTTATTCGAAACCATTTGTATCTCTAATGTGCACTCCTATATTGTAGTGTTGACCAACACATTGGAGAATTAGGATTAGCATATCATTTAAAATATTTAAAAATGTTTCCAAATAAATGCTTGGTGCTTTTCTCGAATGTGTGATGGAATGGCAAGACGATACAAAATGCATCCAACTGGTAGCTTGCCGCGCTAAGCATCTTTGTATTGTTGCTCTTTCATTTGCATACACCCATACAACCCAAATGTAAACACACATTTGTCGCCAAGGCGAAGGACATTTTGAGGCGTTTTAAGCCGTGCCTTCAATGTTGCTACACTTTATAAGTTGGTTACGCTTTGACTGCGCAACATGTCCTGTAGGTTTGTAGCCACACACACACACACACATACACATTAAATACACTCATATGTTTATATACATACGAGTATATACATATGTATGTAAGGGATAAATTTGCGTTGCATGTGTGTTGAAAAGTTTAGTGTTTGCTGAGCGCTTTTAGGCGGCGTTTATTTTAAATGGAACTGCGTTGGTGTGTTTGTGTGTGTGTGTGTGTAATTGCATATTATTTGCATAAATATTTACTAAGTACAAAGTAACATACACATAATACACAACAACAACTGTGCATAAAAGCAAACTTTTAAACAGCATCATAAAACTTTAGACATTTACAGCAGCAGGAGTGCAGAGTTCACTTTTCCCAACCAATACTGGAATTGTTGCATACGTACACCTGTAAGTTTCCAATTTGAGCTTCATTTGTAACGTTTGATATATGATACACATCCAAAAGGCTGGACAGCAGCATATTGTCCCCACAAGGGTGAAAAGTTATGCTAAAAAGTTTAGCTGGAGGCTGGGCAGATCTCATGTTATAGCATAACACGACGAATCGATACAACCATGTCTGTCGGTCCGGTCGTCTGTTTGTCTCGCTATTCTAAAATTGGTTTAACCAAATGCAGACCACGTTCATCACTAACCAAACATAAAAAACTAAAGTATTTTATACAGCTGCCAAAGAAACACACTTTTTGTAGCAGGACTCTTTCTTTTTTAAAGATATCTTAACTATTTTTGATATTTACCATATGAGATCAAAATAATGCTTAATCTAGTCACCGATTCTCTAATACCTGCGATTCAAGTAGCCTCTTGAATGTGATAGGAAAATAAACGATAACAGAATATTCAATTGGTTTAAAGGCATTTTTGCTATTGGTCAAGACTTGTTTGTCCGTTTCTATTAATTCTAAAAATTACAGCAAAAAATATTTGAACCCATCTTGTTTTATTAATACGGAGAGTATCAAAATATTTGAAATGAGTGCATTTTCATGTTTAGGCCGCCACTGCCGAATGCAATTAGCGAGAAATTCGGTAAATGCCCAACAAAAAAATAAAAATTAAACAAATGACAACATTTTTACATTTGGAACCCGCGCGTTTTCAGTTGAAAAGTTAATTAACAGCGCAAACAAGAGCAACATCCACTCGATTGGAGTTGAGAGGTGTATGCTCAAAAGTTAAAACAGGTAACTCAACTCTACTGCTTTTGTTTGTCTTGGCCATAATAATAATTGCATGTTTTTCTGTTTTCCCCGCAACGCCCCCTTTCCCAAACAACCCCACTGTCACACTTGTTGTATACGTATGATGCTTCAGTCTCTGTCATTATCGCCAGCGTTTTCATGGCCCTTGTCGGGAATTTGTGCTTGTTAGTGCAACCGCTGTTTGTTTGGCTTTATTTTAATGGTTATGTTTCATTTAATGTTTTCACATTTGTTGCTTAATTGTCTGCCGCTGTGTGGCAGCTCCGTAAAGTTTAAAGTTCGTATTAGTAATGTACTTGCGGTGGAGAGCATTTAATAGGCCAACACCTAAGTACCTTTACAAATAATATACGACATTTCTACTCTGCTCTCTTTGACATTCTTTTTATTTACGTTTTTGTGTTCTTAATCTTTTAAACATAATTTATATTATTTTGCTTTTAAATTACTAAATTTAATCATCAAAAATGTATATACATGTATTATATTTACATTTATATATATTTTAATATTTTTGTTCGTGACATTTTTATATTCTGGGATATATATATATATATATATAATTATATATATATTTTCGAGTAATAAAATATTTTAGGACTTGATGCTTTTAATGTAATTTTTGTAGCGGATTATAACATAAAATCCCAATTGTATATGAAATTCGAAGAATATTATATTTCAGAAGTCCTCGATACTCGATTTATATATTTATTTTGTGATTTTTTTCTAGCGGTTTACAAATTTAATTACCAAGTATCTAAGTAGTACTTGATACCTTGAATGCATCGGTATCTAAACAAAATATTAAATGAAACACAAGCGTCGACGAATATTTTCATCGCTATAGAAGCGACCCCTTTTTCAAAGAAGAGAAACCATCCAATATTCGCCTATTTAAAAGCAACAGAGAGAAAAAACCGCTGTCGAACCGAAAAAGAAGTTCCTAATACGGTTGGTTACAATTGATAGAACCCCTAACTCTAAGCAAGTGCTTGTTTAAAAGTTGAAATATAACCGCACTTACTATTTTAAATTGAATTTGGGGCTTTTTTTTATAAAACAAAGACCCATATACACACACTACAAACCGACGATTGGGATAGTTTTGCTTCGATTATTAAAATCCAACAAATTAAGGTCTATCTGCCACTTTCAACTCATTATGCCTTTAATATATACTATATATCATCAGGCAGTTTTTATATTCTCGAACATGTTATTAAATTAGTGAAGTTTTTCATAAAAAAGGTAATGAATTAAAAAGAAACTGACAACAAGGGACAATAAATGTTCGAGAAGTGTTCAGTTTCAGCTGAACTGCCACTGGGTAGTTAACATTTTTTGCCCCCTGGAACGTTAGTCGTCCTTAACTTGCCTTATTTTAAAATCTGCCAAATCATCTTGTGGAATGAGTCGCAGTTTCAAATCATTAGCCAAATGCAAAACAGCGTACAGCGCCACCGAGGGCGATAACGAGTCGGCCATTTTGGTGGTCAACAATTTTGGGAGGTGCGCATACAAATCGTTAAAACTCGCAGCACCTTTTTCATAATGTTCCGCATCTACTGTTGGGTGCACTGGTAACGATTCCTCCGGCACCTCGTTAAGCAATTGCTTTTGAATGAGAGAGTTGCAGCTGCGCTTTAGATTCTTCATATCAATTACTTTAGCGCGCTTAGCAAAAGGCACAACAACTTTGGTGACCTGTAAGGAGATGGAAGTTAGTTTAATTTTCAAAAGAATAAATGACAGAATGTAATAATAATTTTTCCATCCCCATCTCTTTTTGTGCTCACCTTAGTTGGCGCATTATCATATTCGGTGGCAATTTCCAGCACCATGTCATTGCCTGTGCCATTGCCGCTACCAAATTCGCCTGTGACTTCATCGCCTCCATCACCGTCCAGCAAGTCCGGATTCGAGCTTCCCACGTTCAAGCCCTGATCACTCTCAAAGTTTGGTGTGCCTGGCATAAAATGCTCGTTGTCGAAAAGCTCCGCATCATCGGGCGCATCTGTGTGATGGCCGAGTTCGTCTTCATCACCAGACTCCGTGTCTGTGTCAGCTTTCCCGAAGCGGCGTGTAACCTTTATGCTTGGCGCGTACTCGTATTTGTAAAAGAAATTGGGTTCGAAACTATATTTTGTAGGAAGCGTGAGCTTGCGCGGATCCCATTTCTTTTGGAAGTTAGCTTTGCGCAGCTTTCCGGTTGTCTCTATAGCTTGAAACAGTTCATCGTGGCACTGGCCAAAGTTTAGTTTCTGGCTGCGTCGTTTCGCTTGCTGCTGTGGGCGACGAACGCGTTGTGTATTGGTCCCAGTCGCCGCCGTAGAGGTCTGTGTATTAGTTTGCCCAAATGTGGTGCGACCGCGCTTAAACTTCCAGTGGGATGGCCCGGCCCAGAACTGTGAAATTTTGTCCATGGGGCGATAGGAATATTCCAGTTTAGATGTACCATCCACGGGTCGCAGGTCATCAATGACATGTGGCTTTTTGCGCAGACCCCGACAGCGATTCAAAGCTCTTTGTTCCTCAGTTGTAAGCTCTTCCAGGTCGTTAAAGTCAACATCCAGAACTGCGGCCTTCACATTCAGATCAGGGATAGGTTCGCAGTCAGCATTTACATCGAACACCATGGATAGCTCCTTAGGATTCTCAAAGAACTCTCCATTGTCGTGGTGACCATGGTCGTCATCATCATCACCACCTTCACCTACAGATAACGGAGCTGGCGATTTAGGTGGGCCACTATTTGTGGGAATCGGAGCGTCAGTGATAATATAGCCGGTATACATGGGACGTAACACTAATTGTTTTTCACATTGAAGCAATTTAAGTGCCCACTCAGCACTAACCACCTCATGGGGTTCATAGAAATCGGCACACTCAGCTATCGTATAGTCCGACACATCATTCGGCAAATCACTTTCATCCCAGAAGCGATATGTTGTACACAAACGCAACTCAGAGTCTTTTGTGGGTAAAATGTTGTGCATTAATCGATTTGAGGCGTTAATGGAACCCACTGTAGAATTAAGCTTGCCAAACACCGGGTCCTGCAGCGGTGCTGTGTCCAGTCTGGCATTCAAAGTCTCTTTGTTCTTTGTGACTGTTGAAACCGCTTTACGCGCGCGTTTTTTTGGCTTTGGTACCGCGCCCTGTGCCTGCTTGTCTGCATCTGTGCCATCAGCGGGATCCGCACGATCAGCGCCGTCATCATCATCAGCAGCGGCGTTTAGCTGCTGTTCGGTCACTTTCCGCGCATTTAAGCCAGCGGACATTCGTAAAGCGTCCAGGTAAATGGAGTCCACCCGCAAGCCATATACTTTTGAGGAGACCTCCAGCGAAGAGCCAGCCATCTAAAATTAAAGAGGAATGGTGAATAAAAGTAACACTGCCGGTCCACTGCTACCGAACTCACCTTAAAATTACTAAGCGACTTGTGGTGGCGACTCAATAGATTTGAGAGGGTATCGATCAGCGACAAGCTCCAGGCATTGTCGCGACTCAGCTTGTTGCCGTTGTATATCTCCAGACACTGGCGTATGGTTTCATTCTCCTCAATGGATTCGGCCACGGTGCTCTCCCTCATACGCTGCTGCTGGAGTGTCCGTCGCCTGGCCTCCTGTCGCTCGGCCTCATCATCATTAATGACGGTTATATCCCGCACCATGCTCTCGCGGTAACTGCCCACTGCGGAGCGTCGCAACGGCGTTTCAGAACGCGGTAGTGTCATGATGGCTGTTAAGTGCCTGAGGGCGCAAATTATGAACTATTTCTTGCAAATTGTTTGACACCAAATTATAGACGCCGCTATGCGCAACACTGGCACACAGCTGTTGGACTTGGAATCAGAATATATATATAGCTTCAATTACACTTGTTGCAATTTCACTTTTTGTCTATTTAGCGCGTATTACCCCTTCTCTTGCTTTGTGTTTTATTTGGATACGCTTGTATTGGTATAGTTTACAGTTGCTTTCAAACGACGCCAAAATCAAGGGCTGCAGCGCACGCAACACCAATATAGTGTTGGAAAACGAACACAATTAACGAAGTTCAAATGTGTATGCAAATGTATCGACCGTTTATATTTGAAAGTGCCTTATCTTCATCGGCCATTATTATTAAAATTTGTTTATATTATTTTTATATACATGTTGGGGCTTAAAATTTAGGCTTAAGGTGAATTTTAATAAATGCAACAAACCCAGCTATTCTGTGATGAAATCAAAAGTTAGATCAACCTAAATTTCAATTGCTGTGCAGTAAATAATACAGATATATTTAAATGAGCTAAGTTTTTTTTTTAGTAATGGACAGTTAAATGATGCTGTGGTCTGACATATGTATTTGTCTTCTCCAAAAAGAAGTTCTGATGTACGGGTACAATTTCCAAGCGATTAGACTCGTCCGTATTCGAAATTAAAATCTATTTAATTAACAAAAGCCTTTAAAAGAAATACATTTTAATTAGAATTTTACATTTTTACAAATAAAACTTTAATAAATATAAATATCATTGAAATATCTCCTTGTAGCAGAAAAAGCAGTTTCATTGCTTGTTCTTCTACTTACCGGACTCAGTAGCTCATAATGCAAACTAGGGATGCGCCATCGTAATATAACCGAATCTAGAACAGTGTTGCATTACGATTAAATTTACGCGCCTAACACACACACAGATGTGTCCGAAACCAACGCAAACGAATATGCGAGCCCGCAATAAAACATAGTGTTTTGAGAAAAACGTTTCAAAATAAATGCAGACTTTGCAAGAAATCAGTTCGAATAATGTAAACACTAGTCGCGAATAATGTGTATATGGTGTTACTTGTTGCTTTGGTTTCATGCTGTAAACACATAATTTTGTGAATACTGCGACATCTTTTGTATGAGTGTATATGTGCAAATATATGTAAAATTATAGATAACTGTGTTGCCGCAGAAACAGTTAATTTCAGTAAATAACAGAAAACAGCAAGAAAAAAGAACAACAGTAGGATTTAACATGGCACGTGAAAGGCACACCGAAGGCACTCAAGGAACACAAAGCCAAGCGTCCAACATTTGGTCGCAAGTGGAGAGTCAGCCAATGGATAACATTGTGTGGGGCCGTTTATATGGCAAAAACATAAAAATCAAGTCTCTTGGTACGAGCGTCTCACCATATAAGATAATCTATACGAACTCGTCCTTTTCTGTTGGTAACTTGAATATAAATTTCTGTTTCTAGACATATTGTATGTTAATATGTATGAATGTATATTTACATGTATTATTAAAGTGTTGTCGTGAATGCGAACTCACACTATATATTTTCTTATTAGATTTGAACAACGAACAGTTCTCAGCTGGACGCGGCGATGCCAACGATTTAATACTTACCCTAAATGATTTACCTGAAAAGATATTGAGTAGAATTTCAAAGGTACATTTTACCATCAAGCGCGCTAACAGCGACCTTTCAAATCCGGTTTATATACAGGTAGGCAGACTGAAATTGAACCATATTTGAACGCATACATATATTTCCTATTTAGGATCTCTCACGCAACGGAACATTTGTGAATGGCGAAAAAATAGGCATTAACAAAACGCGTATTCTGCAGGACGACGATATCATTGCGCTTGCGCATCCCACCTACAAGGGTGAGTGAAAGCAGATGCATTCATTTTGCAACAATACGCTCTAATTTTGCACCTGCCTTGTGTAGCCTTTGTGTTCAAGGACCTGAGCCCGAACGAGGCCATCGGATTACCCAATGAAATCACGGACACCTACTTAGTAAATCGCAAGCTGGGCTCTGGGGCCTGCGGCCTGGTGCGTTTGGTTTACGAAAGACGCACCTGCCAGCAGTATGCCATGAAAATTGTTAAGAAAAATCTTTTGGCTGTTAGCTCGCATCATAAAAACAATCAGACAGATTCGGAGCGAGTGCTCAACGAGGCTAAAATTATGAAAAAGCTCGAGCACCCCTGTGTGGTTAAAATGTTCGATATTGTGGACAAACCGGATTCCGTTTACATGGTGCTGGAATTCATGGGTGGTGGTGATCTGTTGAATCGTATTATAGGCTCCAAACTGCTCTCAGAGCCAACATCCAAACTATACTTCTATCAAATGTGCCATGCTGTCAAATATTTACATGACCAAGGTGCGTACCAACAGCTCACCCTTTGAAGTACTCCACTTTAAGAGTAATTACATCAACAGGCATCACTCATCGCGATCTAAAGCCCGACAATGTGTTGCTAGAGTCCAGCGACGAGGAGACCTTACTTAAGGTCTCCGATTTTGGAATGAGCAAATTTGTGCAAAATGACTCAGTAATGCGGACATTATGTGGCACACCCCTATATGTTGCGCCAGAGGTGCTAATAACGGGTGGACGCGGGGCATACACCAAGAAGGTTGATATTTGGAGCTTGGGCGTGGTACTCTTCACGTGGTAAATAGATTCAATGTCCAAATACAAGTACAAGTCCAGTGCAAATAGTTAAATATTTTACATTTACAGTCTTAGTGGCACTCTGCCCTTCTCTGATGAATATGGCACGCCGGCTGCTGAGCAAATAAAACGCGGCAAATACGGCTTTCGACATCCTGCCTGGCAAAGAGTATCGCAACGCGCCAAGTCCCTCATTCGCGAAATGCTCAATGTTGATCCCGAAAGGCGACCTTCAATTGATGCAGTGTTGCAGAACACTTGGCTGCGTGATCCACAAATGCTGCACAAAGCCAAGCGATTAATGAAGCTAGACGATATGGAAATAGAAGAGAACGAAAACTTTCTGGAACCACCAACAAAGCGCTCTAGACGCTGAAAAAAAGGAAAAATAATAATATAAAAGTTTTAATTTTCTGGCAAAATTACGAAAAACATTTTGTATACCTAAAGCTGTGGCTTGTGTTTTAAGATAAGTATTTTTTCGGTTGTTTATTTTTACGTGTTGCCCCTAGTTAAGTTAAGGTCTGTTAAGTTTTCCCTGACGTTTGTGCCACAAATCGAAATTGGTTGTTGCTTAAATTATCGTACTCAGGTAAAAAAAAACGCAGCAATTGAAGCTATTTCATATTTTACATTCTAATTTGTTGTGTATAAGCGTTTCATGATTTATTATATGGGTATTATTATCATAGCCAGTTGACACCACAAATTCAACAATTCCAAAGTAGAATTTAGTTAAGAAAATTATAGTTGGCCAAAAGTGTGATTTCCTGATAATTGTAAAACGAATTTTACAAACAAAACCCACATGTCATAATTTTTTGTGTTGAGAGCAACGAAAAATAATATTTCTCACTTTTGGCCGCATGATATTTGGCTCCCACACAATTATTGTGACATTAATTATTATATTATGTATTAAGCATTAAAAATAAATGTATACGGCGCGAAAAAAAACCTAGTTTCTAGATAGATGGGGATTTCTAATGCGAGTTAGACATTGTAATTTGGAAAGGACAGAGTATGCATAAAGGTAAATAATGGGCTCGTAAATATGTCGATTTTCATAGGTACCTGCTGATTATTTAAAAAAAAAAGCAATTAATTCCATACTAAATTATAATTTCTTGGTTCAAAAAGCTTTTCTTTTCAGAGTTTCATCAATATACTTCTTTTTTTTTAATATTAACAATTGCTTGGCGTAAAGACTGTTAAATACTCCGATATATGTACATAATACGTAATAACAACATTTAAAAATACTACAATCTAAATATACAAATTTATAGTATTATATTTAAAAAAAAGTGCAGCTCCATACAAAATCGGTCATTGTAAATTTAAGATTCTACAAATTTGTGCTTAGTCAATGTTTTGGCCACTTTTTGGTAAAACATGTTTCACTAATTTCCTGCCATATCCGATAGTCACCAACGTGCGATCGCCCTGCCAAAGTGCGTCTGTTAATCGATTATGTGGTTCCTTATATGTGTAGACAAACTGGCGATCTCCTGAGATTTTCTCAATCTTTACCTCACTTGGCAAGTTGCTGGTGGCGGCCAAATGGCATCTAAAACACAAAGATACCCCAATAAGAAATCCAAAAGAAATACAGGATATACGAACAACTTACCCGTTAACCAGCAGATGGGAAACATGACCCTCCTCAAAGAACTTTTTCGTTTCCACAAATTTTAGCGGCACACGAATATCCAAAGTGTGCACGTTTCCATCATAATCACCCAAATAAATATAGTTATCACCATGAAGCTCTGTTGGCGCTGCCCACGCGGCACATGTAAAGCTCAAGCCCAGTGCTTCGTCGCCGGACATACAAGTAGAGGCTAAAGATGCTTCACGCACATCCCACAGACGAGCGCAGCCGCCACGATCACAGGTCAGAAACTGTTTGTCCGATGTAGCAGACGTTGCCAGGCCCATTAATCGCTCAGTGTGTGCCGTCCGAATGCGAAAGGAGCTGGTCAGATCAGCACCCGCAAGGTCCCAGACCTGTTAAATCGAAGAGATAATGAGAATCAGCACCAATATTACCAATATATAGGGTGTCAACTCACATTGATGGTACCCTCTGAGCACGTGGAGATGGCACATTTTTCGTTGGACTTGAAAACATTTAACTGGTTAATGGGTATATTATGTCCTGCGGCTTCGCCAACCAAAAAGAGAGAGTAAGGCTTCGCAGGATTCCGCACGGTCGAGTATGTGGACCAGGCTTGCAGTCGGGTATCGCCTAAGGCTACCAACAACTAATAATACAATGATTAGAAATGCATTTACTATAGAACTATATCAGTGACCAGAATATACCCACCACATTATCGTAGGCAAAGCGCAATATGTTTACCACGAATTCACATTGTAGTTTGTAATTGGCATTGTCAACCGTCATGTGCTTAAGATGGTTGTAGCCAAAGAACATGCCCCACCATTGGGCACCATCGCGGCGATTCGTGGCCAAAGCCACGTGTTGCCTTTTATTCATCGTTAAGCTGTCCCAACATTCGTGTATACGCGGCGAAACATTCTCCAGCCTTGCGTTCATGTCGGTAACGTTCAGATTTGGATACTCCACGTTATCGGCCAGTTCTATGGCGGGCGGGGGCTTATGGAAGTCTGGCGTGCGGTAAGTGACCGAGCTTCGTTGTGGAAACATTGTGGCTTTATCCTTGTATTTATTTATTGGCACCATATGTGCAATTTGAACGCGTGCAGGCCAAACACCGGCTAGAGATGTTAAATAAGCAATGAAATAGCGATATATTCGATAAAAATCACACCCTATCGCCTAGGGCTGAAATCTATAGTCAAAACAAGCGATCTATTTATCTTTTTAAATCGATAGGCTCCACCGGAAGTAGAAGCAACTTTATAGGGAGAGAACATATCCAAAGACTGAAGAGCTTTCGATGAATAATCATATTTTTTAATCTTTTCTTAAGTAATAGTTTCCATTTATTGCACTTGTAATGAAATAAAGAAACGAATGTAAACTCATACTTGAATGAATTCGGAAACACTGGATAATACAAGTATCTAATAAAAATAGTTTAATAAGAAGTAGTTTCTACACAATCATTAATACTTATTCCACCCATCTTCGATAGTGTTCCTGAGTGTTATATTTAAGTCATTTCAGAATATTTGTGTTTACGTTCACATAATCTATATTGATAAGCAGCAACATCCATTGTTTGTATGTTGACATAAAAATAACTTCAGTCGTTAAAAAAGCTCAAAGCGAATACATACTTGTAAGTTTGTTTTAACACTACAAACTGAAGGCAAGTGGACAATAATTCAAAACGATTATTAAATATTGGGCTTTCAAAGTATATTCAAAGCGCCGTTTAATAATTATGATGTCCTTATTATAAGTAATATTTCAGCGTTATCGCTAAAGCATATCACAATTTGGAAATAAGCCAACTAAGAATGACTGCGTTGGTTTTTCACACATCAAAAACGCAACTTTGCCAATTTTGAAGAACTCGTGCTAAAGCAAAACCTTTGATTAAACGTTTTAGGCTATACTAAGTAAGGCAACCTTAAACATTAATAATATTATTATTTTTAAAAAGGTTTTACTTTCAATAATAATTTCGCAAGCTTTAATTCAATTTTGTTTAAGTTCACTTCCTTTGCAAAACGTAGTTCTAAAATTTGATTTTCTTTTTTCATTGAAATTTGTTTATGAAAAGGCGCTAAACTTAGGTAGCCTGCCAACCTGTTGGGCTTAACAGTGGGAAAACCAACAGCTGACTGAAAACAATGTATCGATGCTTCCCATTAGCTTCTAAGTACTCATCAGGTTTGAGTGAGTGTATAAACAAAAGACGTTCTCGATATTTAGTTGTTTTTGTGCACGCCTACTCCATAGACGTGTTCCGTGGGCTGTTCGTGCTCTTAGGTGTGATAGCAACATAAATTGTTTACTGCGTTAAATTAGCATAACTTTTACATGCATATGTATGTATGTGTCCAGTCAAGAATATCGAGAAAGTGGTATAACTACAGCTTGCACGGCCGGCTAGTTGGACAAAATAGAATAATACTGTAACTTACATAATAAACAAGCATATAGTAGTATGTAAAACATAGGCACCACTCAGCGATTTCATCATTGTCAAAAATAATAACAAAGAACATGTATTAACTGGGGCAGCAGAACATAAGAACATATTTTGCTCACTTTTGGAATGTGCAATGCTAACAGCAATAAAAACATCGACGAAAACAACGACAAACACGAAATAAACTATGTAAATAGGAAATTTTTAAAAGTGCCTACTTCGATTTTATACACTCACATAGAAATAACAAACATACATACATACATACGTAATTATAAATCTAAAAGGAAATCACTATTGACCTGATTAAAGCGCGCGTCAAGCAAGCTTTTGTTGTTATTGTTATTATCGCTACTACTACAATAAGAAATTCGAAATGGGCGCTTTTTCCGAGTCTGGAAGCGTGCTCGATATTTATCCCGTGCTGTGGGAATTTATGCGTCCCGGAACATCTCCTGTGGATTGGTAATTTAATTACTTGAATAATTCAGAAAACTTGATTCAATTCGTCTCTAATTAGGTGCGAGGATAATTATAATATATCAGCGAATATTGCCGAATTCGTAAATACGGTGCGTATACGTGTTATTTACATATTATTTTTATTTCCCAAAATATGCTCAATGTACATGAGTGTTAGTGTGTGAGTGTGATTGCTTGAGTGTTTTTTTTTTCGATATTTAAGTACAATACACACACGTGCTCACAAAACAGCTGCCTTAGCACAGGCCTTGACCTTTTTACGTGTGCGAGCGAGAGAGACAGAGAAGTGAAGATGCTAATACAAGGACTCTAGACAGAACAGGCAAGCCGGACAGACAGACAGAGAGATAGAACTGACGGGTCAAAAAGACCAGACAGGTATTTAATGCCCTGATTCCACCTTTTGGCATTTATTTCGTCATTGTACATAAATAAATATATTTTTATGGCTAAATTTTCGACACTCGAAACGGCAAATTTATATAATATTACCCGTTCAAGTTATAATACTTTTGTTTGTTGATTTTTCTATGTGCGATGTAAATATTTACTCAGCTCAAAGTACAGCCATATTATAACAGATTCCTTGTCTTTGTTCCAATTCTTAAAAAAAGAATGTTGATTTGCTTTGTTACTACCGACTTTTTCATATCAGTCATAGCTGCGTCGAAGTTAATGTACACTTAAAAAACCTCTCCTTTGTTTAGAAAATAAATAAATAAAATAAATAAATGCCCTATAAGCGAGAAAAATATTTTGGCGTGAATTGGCCTTAAAAACAATAAAGGCCATAATTTGTTTAAAATTGTAGTTATTGCTTCAATACTAATGTTTTTCTTAACATATGTTTTTCTTAAAGGTGGTGTAATTACATTTTTTTAATATACAGAAAACTGGACAATAGACACTACTTATTGTATATAATTAGCAATGGCTATATCGATTCTTTATGGCGATAAATGTGTTGCCTTAAGGCGTAATTTTTTGTTTATAACCTCCAGGAATTGAATTGTGAAGTTAATGACCCACTTGCCATAAATTAAAGCACATATGCGATATGTGATATACAAGTATAACTAGATATGTACATATGTATGTAGAGTTTTGCCTTGCCTATCCCAATTTGTTATCGCCTTTGTTTATAGAAAAACAAAAAGAGAATAAAATGTTTGTCTAATTTCCAGTCTTATTACAGCGCGTTGCACACCATTTAAATTTAATTACACTTAATTCAATTTGTCGCAACAATTTACAAACAACTGTTCTTTGTTCGCGTGCGATAAGTGAAAAGTTGTTAAAATGACACGTTGGGGCCTGGTTAGAGGAAGGAGAACTTTTCGATGACTTTTTGTTGTAAACAAAAGGCATGACAAATAAACGAGCATATGGTAATCAGAAGTTCGTGTAAATGTGTATGTGTTGGGTCTGCCTGGATTTAATTGGCCAAGCGTAGCATGACAAAGTAAAAACAGTAAAAGTTTGAGTCCATCATATGCATATACATTTTTTTGTACATTTGTACATATGTATGTAAATTTATGTATATGTGTGCATTGCAAAATAAGCTAAATACGTGACTGGAATATATGTATATGGGTGGTGGGTGAACGATTTGATCCAATCTGGACTCTCATAAAGTATTTACTATCTTAATTAGAATTGACAAAATTATAATAATATCAAACATTAGTTGCCCAACTGGCTATTACTTAAAGTCTTACAGCTTAGATACAAGTATATACTATATGTTCATTAAAATTGCCTTTTATTTATTATTCCTTTTATTTTAAAGTATGATTGCAAAAACAAACTTTAAATTAATTTTGTTTCCTTTATTAATGTTTTTAATTATCAAAACCATGAAAAAGTTCCATCTTAGGCATTAAAGCCTTTTTTAAGTCATTCGTGAAGAGTCTTAACGTTTCATACATCGACAGTTATTCTTCAATTTCTAAGTATATAGACAGTACATCTACAAAATAATGTCACAATTATTTATGAACCGCTTTTAAACAACATTTACCAGAAATAATGTTATAATAATATTAACTGCTAATGGATTTATTCTTAAAATTATTTCTAAATATGTATATTACTTAAAAACATTTCACATTGACAAGGGCTTTATAATATTATTTGTACAAAACTGTCTTCTTCCAATGATAATGATAAGATCTTGACTGATCGGCAGTATCGGAGGAGGAGTTGTGCGTGTGTGAGTCGTGATTTGGTATGAGTGCTAGTAGGAATATCATTATCACCCACACTCCTAGTGATAGCTATTCTCTATCTTTTCCCATTTATCTTCTCTACAGTTCAGCAACTTCCTATTCATACTATTGCCACCAGTATTAATAATGCTGTTCAAGGAATATGGGCGCTTCGTAACCCCCGGAATACATTTGCTCTGGGTGCTGCTTATCGTGGTGGGTCTCAGCTCCATGTACTTTCATGCCACGCTCAGCCTGATCGGCCAATTGCTGGACGAGCTGGCTATATTATGGGTGTTCATGGCCGCCTATTCGCTCTTTTTTCCCCGGCGCTACTACCCAAAGTTTATCCGAAATGATCGGTAAGTGCAGTTGCCACAAATTGTGCGAATCATATGCAACTAAAAGCCGCTCCATACTACTTGTAGCAAGGCGTTCGGCTGGTTAATGCTCTTCTCAGCCATTCTTGCCACGGCTCTATCGCTCTGGAAACCTATTGTAAATGCCTTTGTACTCATGGGTATGGGAGTACCGACCATGGTAATGCTTTACCGGGAGCTGCAGCGGTAAGTGGAAATAACATAGATATTAATAATGACTGCTTTAAAAAATTCCAAATTATATTTTGGCTACCAAGTTCGGCGATCTGATTAGCTCAATTTTTTCAGCCCATTGTTATTATCAATGGGACTGCTGTTTGTGTTCGCCGATAAGTCACACGAAGCCTTATAATGCTAGCAGCTTATAAATCATTCGCTTATCAGTTGGGGTCGCCTGTTCCAAGAAGCTATTTTTTTATCGCACTAAACAAAACAAAAACGCATATCTATTGTTATCACTTTGTTTTGGATATAGGGACAGGTTTCTATACCTTTCTTGTCAAAGATCAATCATGGCTGGATACATTTAATATATATAGTGACTTCAAATAAGTACGTACTTATGCATGGAAAAACTGGGGTGACAAGTTGATAAGCGAAAAATAACATTAATGAATGCTTTTGAAATTGATATGAATTTATATTAAACTTTGGATTCGAGCATTAAAGCTCTAAGGAATTTGTTCCCCTACACTACATGCTTGTGTTAATTTAAACGTAGCAATATATAGTATATGTGCTTTTCACTCAAGCATAAGAATCGAAATGGGTAAAGCTTTCAATTCAAACGGATCTAGTAGTTCATACTGTGCGAATTTTATTTATACACAATTCAATTGATTTCCGAAAGGCTAACCCTAATCATGCCCAACATTTTAACAGTTCACCGCTATTAGTGTGTAAACTTTTCCAGCTTTCAATATTTTCCTAGTGGTCTATACTATATTGACATAACGGTTTCAAAATAAAAAATATTTACAAAATAAATAAAATCAAATATTAAAGTAAAGTAATGACAATTTGCTGACAAACACAAACAAAGTGAAGAGCTTCCAGCTGTGTGGCATAAATCGTTACTTCAATTCAATTCATTAAATTTCAACATCAATCAAATATCTATTCCATTCCATCAAAATATAAATAGATTTTAATGGCTTCGGTCGTATTCCAGGTGCTTTCATACACATACTATAACATACATCCCAATTAAGACTAGAACGAAAGTGCTGGCCCCAATTTGGCAGTTCGCATTAATCATTTAATCAAATTAAATATTTATTCAATTTAAACAAATAGCTATTGAATAGAATGCTCTCCTCTGCTCGCTTTCTCTTTCATTCCCAGAGTGGGGGACCGGCGGGTCTATCGCCTCGGTCTGCGTACCACGACCGTGTGGGCAATCGCAGTCTTCTGTTGGATCAATGATAGAATGTTTTGCGAGACCTGGTCTGCCATCAATTTTCCATATCTGCACGGGTTCTGGCACGTTTTGATCTTCATTGCCTCCTATACTGTGCTCGTACTATATGCCTATTTCTATGTGGAATCGGAGCTGCCACAGCGTCGGCCTCTGTTGAAATATTGGCCGGTAAATGAGTTTGAGTTCGGCATACCGTTTATATCGATCCGAAATCCAGGTAAGACCTTGCGCGACACTATTTAGGAGATTTGATTTCCGAATGCCTTCAGTTTGCCATGACAACAGACCAAAATGTCCTTCATAAGGCACAATAAACAGCCTAGTTAGTAATTGTAGTTTAGACTGTAGAGCGCACAATTTACATAGAGCTTACAATTATATATATAGAGGTATATAGAACAAATTTACTAGCTATACTTACAAAATTATAGAGCATATACATATATACATAAATATTACACATTGGGTAATGCCGCCCAGAATAACTGATTAAAAGTTGAAGCAGAGTTTATACATAAATAGCTTATAAATATATACGTTGATGATGAAGCTTAATCAAATTTCATTCGTGTTAACAAGATTATATCCAAAAGATTCAATTAGCTTCATTCCAAAGATTAAATATATTTCCCCTCAGGGCGGGAGTACCCAAATTATACTATAGTAGAAGAAAAGTCTGTTGAAAAGCTTCGCTTATCGTTTTCCTGATAGATTATTTAAATATGATTATTGTTGCCCAAAGACTTTCTTTAGCAGTAGTTGTTGTAGAAAAACAAAAGACATATCGAAATGACATTAAACTTATTTATGCAACGAAGCAATATTTGCACTCAACTATGTTGTCTACCGACTTTGATTCCTAAAAAGTACATTGCTACGCCATAATAATCACACTGTTTCTCTAGTAACATAATTAACAGTTTCAAAGTCGGCTATAACTTTATTTACTATCGGCACTAAGAAAAGTTAATGTAAACTCCATAGAAGAAGAAGAAGAATTCAGTGATTTTTTCAAAAAGTTCCTTGAAGCCCAAGCCTACTCTTTTTTAGGTTCTTCTTTTTGACTAATTTAGCTTGTATGTACCTGGAATTTAACTGCCCTGCAACTAAACTAACTGTAGTATGTTTTAGTTAGTAAGTGTCGTCGGTATCAGCTAACATATCCCTTTAAATTATTTATAAAATAGAGAAATGTTTTCGAGACTTACAAGCTCTACAAGTCGTCAGATATTTTGCGTACGGCTGCTCCTTTTCATTTCATTGCTATGATTATTAGTATGATATTTGTAGCACCCAGAAGAAGGCGCGACAGGCCGCATATAGCCGTATCCGTCTGACTTTTTTTACAAACTAGACTCTTAGGTTTAAGGCTGAAACCGAATCGATTGGATCCCTATAGCCCATAAGAACGATTGACATATTTTTCACTACTTTCTCTGTTTTTAAAGCTACCGCAACCAAATTGAATATATGTATACTGGTTTTGTATAATCTCTCTGATATATACCAGACATTTTTATAAACTGACCATTTGGCAATAACCCTTCTGTTATTCACGCTTTCTCAGCCGAATTAGATTATTATATCTACTTGTTTTTATAATGTTACAACATACACTCGAGTTTAAACCATGTGCGAAAACTAGATCCTGTAGGCTCATTTGAGCGTTATTTGTATTATTTATATGTCATTTAAAAGCGGAGATTGCTGCCTCATTCCCGAAAGCTCCATTCCATTAGTTTTAGGACCTTATTGCAAGTGTTGTAACATTTCCACATAGTTTTATTTTTGTTAAAGGCTATATATTTTTAATTCAGTGAGTGCCGATACCGACGATATTTATGTATATACTTCTTGTTAAACGTATTACTGCTACTACTTACATAATTAATTGACTAACTCTAAAGCTTACGTTGACAATACATGCAATACAATGTGTCTTTTTTACACGAATATCACTGCTCCCACAGATTCGAAAGATTGGCACAAATACAATAGCTTATATTTTTGCAAAGGGCAGGACTTCTCTGACTATGCACAATCAAAAGCCTATGCGTAAGAAAAACTAAACAAACAAAAAGCAAGCTTAAGTCTCAAAAAGCTGGTTGCTTTTAGACAACGTGATATACAAATATATATATTTATATATTCATATACCTACTTGTAACATAGTGCTTAAACAAATGCCCTGAAAAATTGAAATGTGAACGAAATATGTATGTATACAAACAATTTATTATTTATAAAGAATAAACTTAGTTATAAAACTCAGCAGAGGGATAGCTACATTCACGTTTGTTATTGGAATAATCAACGGTTGTGTTTTTTATTTAAGACATTCATGCTCAAATTTAATTGTAAAATTTAAATGAATTCAGGGTTTTGTTAAGTTAATCGGATTTAAAATATTATCAAGAACCAATTCGGGCTACAGATTGTTAATTCGATTACGGCTCTATAGCTCTTTCTATCTAGTACCTTATCAAATACCTAAATAAATATAAACATTTGTTGAATTCAAAACTGTTTACAAATGATACATTTTTAATAAAAGATGAAAAATGAATTTTAAAAACTGAGTGCGTTTGGTTTTCTTTGCTTTAATGTTTATTAAACATTGTATATTCTTTGTTATAAATTCATAAAACATTCTTCGATTTGTGTAAAGTATATAAAATAAAAAATATGTGAGCAGGCCAATTATGATTGGTCTATAATCTTCAACAAGTTATGATCGTGCTGTGTTCAGTTTAAGTAAGTTTTAGTCCGAATCGGATGATATATTGGTGCAGGAATCGTGTGCTATGCGCTTGTTAATCGGATTATAAAGACCATTGAATGGATAAGGACCTCGATAGCTGATTATATTCTTTGGCGTTTCATGTATCTTAACCTCATAGAGTAGTTCCGGCTTGGCCAGCTGTGTGCGTATGTTGTCCCAAATATAGACGGCTAGATTTTCGGTAGTGCTAGGCTGTGGGTACAGAAATCAATAATAAATTCTGTTTTAAATGCTTAATACAAGTATATACAGTTTTGCTAAAATATTCGACGTCCTTGTCTAGATTTTTGTGATCCAACCGTTTCATTATGACGGTCTCAATAGCATCTTTTAGTTCAGTTATGTTCATAACCATGCCTGTGCGAGCATCGATAGGACCACGTACTGTTATCTCCACTAAAATAAAATAAATAGCATTAAAAATTACATATTTCTATCCACTACATAGGTATGGGTTAGAAGTTAATTTACTGATTAAGTCTAAGTCATACTGATGGTAACTTTTGTATCTTTTAAATAAGAAGTACATAGTTAGAAAAGTATGTACATCAATTGAGCGTTGAACTTTTTCTTATTGCACGATTTATAGATAAGCGAGACGCCAGGCCAAGGTTTTTATATGGTTTATGATTCGTCTGTTTCGAATTACCAACAGCTGCGGTTTTGCTTGATTGAACAAATGTTGAGGCGATATGGTGACAATTTAAAAGCTAATCACGCATTAAAACAAGCCACATTACTGAAATATTTGCATGGAAATGATTCACTCACCTGTGTAATTGTGTCCGTGGCCGTGGAAATTGTTGCATTTCCCAAAAACTTCAACATTTTCAGCGTCGCTCAGTTGGGGACTGCAAAACAATTGTTAATTGTTAAGACTACATACATACATATATACATAGAAGTGCTTTAACAATGCATTAATGTTTTTGTTTTTTGCTTACCTGTGCAAGCGATGGCAGGCGCTAAAGGTCTCCTTGCGGGTTAAAAAAGCAACAGGTTGTTGGGGAGACATGGTGGAGAGAGCTGTTTGGATTTGCGGATGTGAATGGCAAGCACTTAATGCTTAATTAATGCTTAAATACGCTTTGCAGTCGCTTTGCAACAATGAATTAAACGCGTTCAAGCACTGTTTGGCGTCAAATGCGAAACCTGCTCTGAGCCGCTGTATTTATACTTATGTATGGATGGGGCTGTGATAAGGAATAGAAACGTAGCGTATGCAGTATGTTTAAATTATTGCAATGCTGCAACGATATTGTCATTATCTACATTGTACTAATAAAGCATGGGCAGACATTAAATGGTGTTTCTATTATTATGTCCCGAAATGTATTAGAATGTTAGACAAAAAAATAAACACATGAAGTGAAACTTTCGTTGCTTACGTGGCTGATACGCTCGTAGCACTCGGAGTAATTACGAATCCAACTGCACCTAGGAAATATTGTTTTTTATTTTCAGTTTAATGGTAATTAAAAAAATTAATTATTAATGCACATATATCAATATTGTTTTATTTTGGTTTAACAATGCCGAGTCGTATTTGCAACGTTACCAGATTAATGTTTAGCGAAGACACAAACCACCCGCACATCTTTGTTTCGATAGTCGCTTTTGTATCGATAGGCATCCATTTAGTAATTTAAATGTAATTATTTTTCGAAGTACAACAAAAGCTGCATTTACTTTAAATAAATTGTCTTCGTAGCGTCACTGTCACGTAGCGCCACCCTGAGAGCCAATGAATTAACACCAAAAATCTTACATGTTACGACTACGCTTTTCCTCTTGGGCAACGCCGGCTGGCTCATCGGAATTCTCCTTGGGTGTGTGGTTCCAACCCTATGCCCGCGTGAGTCGTACAATAACCGATAACACGGTTCCTCCATCGATAAACAAAATGCCATCACTACAATAAATTCGACGCGCAATATACAAAACCGAATTCAAAACGTAAACAAACCAAAAAAAACTAACATAAACTAAAAGAACCGTAATGCGACCAAAAACAAATAAACGGATAACTCCCTCAAGCCATCCGTACGAATACGGGTGACTGTAAAAGGAGATTATATACGTGCGGACGGACAGAAATTGTGGCATCGGACAACTGTGTGGGATTTTGCTGTTGTTATCCCAGGCGTACCCACCCTGCCTGTATCCAAAGCCAAAATGTTTCTTGGATACCCTATTTTGGACCGTGCTTGGGCTATTCCATGGCACAGGTGAGTCTCCCGCCCCTACTGATGCTGCTTTAATGCATCATCACCAACGGTGCGACCATTAAAATTAACAATTAATTTTCAGTTTATGTGGCTACAAACATACATATATTTCAGTGTGATTGAGTGTGAGTGAAAACAATGTAAATATGGAACAATAATAATTTATATAAAAACAAAATAAAGAAGGCTTGCCAACGGCCAATGCGGTTCTTTATGTGCGCCAACATGCAAGTATGCTTATGGCAAATAAATATGTATATAGATATATGTGTATGTGTATGAGAAAAATATGCGCGGTACAAAAATTTATAGAAAAATGTCTAACCAAATCCTAACGAGAGCTCTCGACGGTCATGGGCGCAATAGAAATATAAGAATACATATAAAACACTGCGCGCTACTGCAATTGGCAATCTTCATACAATATAAGTGTGTATAAGAGTGTGAACTTTTTTTTTTTGAATTAAATAGAGCGCCAAGCTCTGTTTAGGTGCCACTTTCTGCCTTGTTTTGGTTTTTATTATATCTGTATATATTCTTTCTTTTGTATTATCTTCCTTTTTTTTCTTTTGCAGAAACTTCAATGGGCGGCGTGTGGGACCCTGCAGGCGCAGCCCATACAAACGACACGACGTAAGGCGCGCGGGATCTCTGCCTGATGTCGCTGCTCAACCGCGAACAATAGGCACGGCGCGTGGCCAAGGAACGGACTCACCGGCTTGTCTATCCTCCGCTGCTGATGGCGCAGACGGACGTGTCTGCTGTTGCGTTGTGGTGGCGCCGCTATTGCTGCTGCTACTTCTTGGGTGGGCGCCTTTGCTCCGGCTGCCACTGTCGTTGCTGCTGCTGCCGTTGAAAACGCTGGTGCTGGATCTGCTGCTGTCGTTGAAGACGCTGGTGCTGGATCTGCTGCTGTCACTGTTGCTCCTGCTACGATGCGGCTCGTGCTGCTACTTATGACGGCCGCTGCAGCTGCTGTGTATGGTTCCACCGCTGTCCGAAAACTTGGCGATATGCCGGAAAATCTTCGAACGGCTTCTGGTTCTTCCTTTCCTTTTGCAGGTTTCAGCACGGCCTCCAGTTCACCAAAAGAAAACACTGCCTCGTGGGTCTGCACCGTCGCCCCAAAAAACAGGAATGGCGTGTTGCGGCTTGCCTTTTATAGGCCGGATGTCGTATGCCTGCGGATTTTTACGTCCTTGCGCATCCGTTCATCACGGCCTTGACGTTTCCCCACTTTGAGGTGCCATCGGGACACAACCCTGCGCCTGCGTGGCTGCAGTTGCCACCATGGTGCCTCGCTCGGTACCGCTAGATGGCGCTGCAGTACCTTTATAAATTCTTGGCGCCTTCCGTAGCGCTGCCACCTTTTATTCTTCGTGACCAGCCCGATGCAACACCACCGCAAATATCCAAGTGGGCGGACGCTCGTGCCCCGAAGTGATGTTTGCGCGCATCAAACGGCTGGTGTTGTTGGAGTCCTCTGCTTCGAGTCCGGCGTTGCCTCGGATGACTACTACCGCGGCGCCCAACGTAGGCCACACCCACTCTTGATCTTCAGGTGAGTAGCTCTGGCTGCATCCTCCTCCCTATATTCATCCATTCTGCCTTAGGACAGGCGTCACACTCGGATATCCTTTGCGTGGAATACCCCCAGCAAGTTCCCTTGCAAATCTTCCAGCTCGTATGCGTTGGTGCCGATGGATTTCCTTACGCGAGCTTTTAGAAATTTCCGCGCGAATTTCGCATTGAACGCGCGGCTGAAATCACTCAATGCAAAGTTTCGCCGGTATACCTCCTGACCGGGCGCTAGTCTTAGCCGCCGCGCACGCCGGTTATAGCGAACGCTACTGCGCTCATACGCCGCATGCAATTGTGCCTGGATTTTCTGTTGCAACAGGGATTGCCTGTCTGCTGTACACAACGCTGCGAATTCGTGCTCGTCTAAGGACCTTAATTTCCTCGCCAATCGGTACTGCGAACCGTGCAACATCATATGTCGGCCGAATAGTGCGAAAAAAGGCGTTACTCCAGTCGCAGAATGCACGCTGTTTCTGATGGCCACTTCAATTTCCGGAAGGTGTAGATCCCACTCGCGGTGATCCTGCCCCAGATACGCCCGTATCGCGGACAGTATAGTCCGGTTCACCCTTTCGGACGCGTTGCTTTGCGGCGAATACACCGGTGTCCGCAGATGCTTAACACCGTAGCCCTCCATCATGTCTGTAAACTGCTTGGACGTGAATTGCTTACCATTATCGGAGTGTATGACTTCTGGAACGCCGAACGTATGGAATACTTCGTTCACCAAGAAGTCGACGACGCTCCGAGTGGTGGCCTCTCGCATCGCCTTCAGGAACGTGAATTTGGTGAAGTGATCTACCACTATGAATATGAAGGCGTGCCCCTTCCTTGATCGCGGATACTTGCCCAAGAAGTCTATGTATAACTTCTGGAACGGCCTCTCCGTGACGACTTCTGCACCAATTCCCACCTGCATCCCGTAATTGGTGGCTTTCGTCTCTTTGCAGACCACGCATTTTCGGACCACTTCAGCAACGTCTTTGGCCATTCCCGGCCAATAAAACTGCCGCCGCAACCAGGACAACGTCTTCAACACTCCTCCATGCGTTGACGCTTCGGTATGGGCCTTCGATATAAGCATGCCGGTTAGCGCACGCGGAACCCACAGTTTCCACACACTGCCTTCGAGCTGATCTTCTAGCCGATTGAAGGATGTCTTTTTGTAGATCACCCCGTTTTCAATTTTTAAATCAGGTAATTTATCTTTTTGACTTTGAATTTCGCTAATCAGCTCCCGATACTCCTCTGATTCGAATTCTGCGGTTTCTATACCCAACAGGTCTCCTGGGAAGAAATCCAACTCCTCTAAAGTTTCGGCTTCGGTGCTTCTGGACAGCATATCCGCCACGATGTTGTCGGAGCCCTTCCGGTGCGTGATTTCAAAGTCGAAGCCCTGGAGCAGCAACGACCAACGAGCCAATCGCCCGGACAAATCCTTCATGGACATCAGCCATTTCAAACTGGCGTGATCGGTTATGACCGTGAATGGCATCATTTCGATGTATGGCCGGAATTTTTGTATCGCCAATACCGCCGCCAAGCACTCCTTCTCGGTCACCGAGTAGTTCACCTGGTGCTTGTTCATCTTGGCAGAAAAGAACGCAATGGGCCTCTCGTTTCCCTGCAAATCCACCTGGAATAATACGGCTCCGACGCCAATATGGGATGCGTCACATTGTACAAAAAATGGGCGTGAAAAATCCGCGTGTACCAGCACTGGCGCAGATGTGAGCGCCTTCTTCAACGCCTCAAATGCTGCAATCGCTTCGCCACCGAGTGAGAACCTACCTCCCGATCGCTTTTTCAAAGCCTCAGTGAGCGGAGCCGCTAAGGTGGCAAAATCTTTAATAAATCGCCTGTACCACCCGGCGGTTCCTAAGAAAGCTCGAACCTCCTTTACGGACCTTGGCACCTGTATGCGCTGTATCGCCTGCACCCGTTCTGGATCTGTTCGAAGCACGCCGCCGCCCACGATAAATCCCAGGTATTTCAACGTTTTAAAGCAAAACTTCGACTTTTGTAACCCTATCGTCAGGTTTGCCTTCTTGAGGCATTCAGCTACTCTCTTCAGGTACTCCAAGTGCGTATCAAAATCAGCCGCGAAGACTACCAAATCGTCTAGATATACTTTAACGTTGGACCTCAGTTCATTCGGTATGACCTTGTCCATCAGCCGGCACAACCTTTGAGCGGCGTTACACAACCCGAAAGGCATCATGCGGAATTGGTACAACGGTCGCCCTGGTACCGTAAACGCAGTGCACCTTCTACTGGACTCCTCCAACTCCACCTGCCAAAACGCAAATTTCAGGTCCACACTGGAAATATAATATGTCTGATCGATTCCAGATAGGATTCCCTCCACGCATGGTAGCGGATAGGCATCTTTGACTGTCAGTTTGTTCAACTTGCGGGCATCGAGGCAAAAGCGGTTCTTGCCCGGCCGTCGCACTATGGTGGTGCGGTTACTCCACGGACTATCGCTTACCTCGATGACGCCAAGCGCCAGCATGCTGTCCACCTCATCCCACACAATCTTCTGCATAGCGGGTGATAGAGGGTAGTGCCTGTCTTTCACTGGCTCTGCTCCGCTGACCAATTCAATTCGGTGAGTCTCCAAAGTAGTCTTGCCTAATCCCGCTTCTTCGAAGGTTAAAAATTCTTTTTTTACTTGTTCCAATTGCAGCTTTTGTTGTTCATTCAATT